CTGTCCAGGAAAAAAAAACTGTATGCACTGATTCTAGCATTGTTTTCTGGTTATATAAATTCTTTTTCATCCATAAAACTGGGTAAATCCTGACCTTTTCAATTTAAAAGAAGAAAAAGCTATTATCTGATCGCAGGCTTCTAAGTGTAAATCATTTACAAGCCAGAGAAATTTCAGTAAGTATCTTATACTGAACCACCAGGGCCCCAGTTACTGCGCTGAGATGCACCCGCTTGGTGAGTGGAGTGCTGGCTGCGTTGCAGCCACTGCTCCCCTGCGGGGCCAGGCTTCCCTGTGCCGCCTGCACCTATACACCCACTATGGCTGCCCCTCCGCCTGCCAGAAAGCTAATTAGCAATGGTCAGATATAATCATTGATATTCTCCTTAGGAAAAAATATATCCATTGGCATTTTTGACCTTGGAAATCCCAGAGATTTCACAATCACTGGCACTAATCCACCTGGGTTAAATGCAACACAATATTCTGCTCTCTTACAAGGAAATTTATAGTCTCAAACTAACCCATGGTGGGTGGAAGAGGAAGGCTTTGAAAGGAGGAAGCCAAAAAGAGTATACTTTTTAGGAGACAGAAATTAGGGGATGAACTATCCAAAAGATATTTCAGAGGTAACTTGGGGGTCACAGAAAAGGAAAAAATAAGTAGGAGGACAGAACAATTGCTGCAGTAGGGCTATGAGACTGTCACTGAGTCGGGCCTCCCGGAAGGTGAATGGGGTAACACAGTTGGATGTGAACAATGTGTTCAGATGTTTTCATAAGGCAAGGACCAAGCATTCTGCATTGTTCAGTTCCGTTCTTTGTTCAAGTTTTTCATCTTATTGCTTTTTTTGAGAGAGAGAGAGAGACATCAGTTTTTGTTTCACTTACTTATGCACTCATTGGTTGATTCTTGCATGTGCCCTGACCAGAGATCAAACCCACAACCTTGGTGTATAGGGATGACCTTGTAACCAACTAAGCTACTGGCCAGGGCAAGACATTTTTCAGTTTAGTCCTAGAGATGCATCAAGACCCTACTCAAATGAGCTTCCGGAGTTCAAGGTGCCCCTGCAGAGAGCTTGGCCTCTGAACTCTGTCCTGTAGCATTCTCATTCCTCATCTCTGTGAAGCCTCAGGCGTCACCTCAGATTTTAAATTCTAATGAAGTGAAATAAACACAAAGAAGTACCTTAAATTATAAATTGAAGAGCTTGCTGAAAATTTTCTCATTACCATCCAAAGTTGCCTTTGTTTTTGAAGGAAGAGAAAACAATGGAGGAATACTTACCAGAAACAGTCGTGTCAATGTTTACTCTGGAGGAGAAATGGGTTCATTGTCTCAGGTCTACTTTAGAAGTATGGTAGGAGGAGAGGATTACAGGAAATAAAGACCTTTTCTCTTTAGTTGACATAGAACATTATATTAGTTTCAGGTGGACAACATAGGAGGGAACGTTTATATTTCTTATGATGTGATCACAATTGGTCTAGTAACAGTCTGGAAATAAAAGTTTTTGACTTACCCTAAAGAGTTACTTTTAGAAATTCAGCACGGCCTGCTTTTCATTTTTTTTTTTTCATTCAGATGTATGAAATAACCCTTTTGTGGGGTATTTATTCCCAGCCATTTCTCAAGTCTGGACTGAATTAAGTTGGTAGAATGACATAAATATATAAATTATATTTCACTGTTTTCTTCCTTACATGCTTTTAATGAGAGTCCAGTTCTTGTCAGAGAAAGAGACAGAATTACTCTAGTATCTCTTCTGAGTCTTCTGACTGGGATGTTTTTTAGAGAACTTGGCCCTAAAGGACCATAGGGTTCATTAGAACTGTATTAAAGTGCAAGGCTAGAGTTCCACCTCCAGCGTGACTGCGAGGTACTCTGCGCACAGACTCGCTCTCTGTTGGAGGCCATCCGACAACCAATCCTTGGCCTAGTCGGGACGGATGAGACGTGTCTGCATAGCAGAAGTGGCTGTGGCCAGGTCTCCTGTCTATCTCTTCCCGTATGCTTGTTCCTATTAGCATCAGGTGGTGAGGTTTTTGGACACCTGTGCTTTATAACAAAAAACTCTGCACAATGCCTCTGATTCTACATGAAATGACTTGCTGACCACTAACTAGAGGCCCCTCGTAACCCTGATGTTGCCTGTTTCCCTCACCTGGGAAGTTAAGGACAAAATTAAACTATGGGCAGACCAACTGCCAGAATGCTGAAGGAGGCCATTGCTAGGAATGGCTAGGGAGTCACCATTCAAAAGCTCAAGATTTATTAGAACCACTGCCTTTCGCATGCCCTGGGCAGGAGCGGTTATTGATGGGACCAGGTAAACAGAGGAGGAAGAAGTTTTCATTTAAATATAATAATCTCAATACATGGAAACAAATACAAAACATGCCCTCCCCCCCCAAGATGTATAAATCAAAAAACCTAGGCAAAGATCCAGTTACCTAATTGAGATAAATTTAATCTCAATGGATAATAGTTGATTTTTATATATCTACAAGTCACCCCTTGCATTCTTTTATTTTAGACCAATTTCTAGAATTTTAATGGATACCTAGTTATTAATTGGCACCTGAAAGTTTGTGCCTGTATAGCTTCGTTGGCTAACTGATTAATGACCCTCTTAGTCAAAATAACCTTTGTTTAATATGGTTGATCTGTGGGACTTCCTGTACTTTTCCGTTATTTCTTTGTTTAACATGATTGATCTGTAAAATCTTCTGTACTTTTTTAAGTTATTTCTGTGGTAACTGTTTCTGTTTTAATAATCACACTATGCACCTGCTACATTGAATGTTGTATAACCTCCCCTATAAAAACAAAGATTGATTTTTCTCGGTGAGTCAGTCAGGTCTAGAGAGCCTGGCTGTCCTCCGGCACCCCACCCGGTGTCTCGTGTCACCTGAGCTGTTCCTCTTTCGGGGACCCAGAGACCCGCTGAAGCTGGACCCCGGCAGCTCTCCAGAAAAATTTGTGATAATTATACAAGGGGGGCAACCCCAAATTTATTTATAAAAAATTATCTTTATTCTTAGATGTTTGAATTTCAGTCACCTTCAAAGTACTTTCCATTTGATGCAATAGACCTATCGAGACTTTTTTTCCACTGCTCAAAACAGTTTTTGAACTCTTGGATATTGATGCCTTTTAGTGCTTCTGTTGTTTTTTGTTTTACCTCTTCCACACTGGCAAAACATATCCCTTTGAGGGCTTTTTTCACTGGGGTGGGGGTGGGGACAAAAAAAGTCACTCAGGGTGAGATATGGTGAATAAGGAGAGTGAGGCACAGGTCCATGCCATTTTTGGTCAAAAACTGCTGAACACTCAGCACAGTGCTGGCAGGTGCACTCGTACATCATCCATCATGAAATGGGCAAATGAATTGAGTTTTCACAAAAAATTCACTGTAGCCAAATGCAGCCTCTCATAACAATGCCATCTAGTACACTGATACAGATGGGTTCCTAGAACACTCACCTAACAAGGGAAGCCTGTAATACAAGGGGTCCACCCTCCAGAAGATAATTCCAGTTTCTTGGGGGTCTCCTCTTGTAAAAGACAACCATATAAAGTCTCTGGAAATGGTTCTGGGTACACACAGCAAATGAAGAAATGTTTGAGAAAATTTACTAAAGGTCAGTGAACGCTGAGGTGTTGGAACCCACTGCTGCCCGCTCTCCTCCCAGTCCCCAGAGGAAACACTCCTCCAGACTGATGCAGCCAAGCACACAGGGCTCCTCTCCCCTCAGCTTCCGACTGGAGGGCTATCTTCCCAGGAGGACCAGGATATCAATAGTTCTCACCTGGACCCCCAGCTACCTGTTTCTGAGTCTAAGTTTCCAAGCAGGTATGGCCAAGAGGTGGGGCACCCACTTCTGCTCAGCCCGTTTGTGGGATAAAAGCTCTGCCCTGGGCACAGAGCCACTGAGGATACGGGGCCTCAGTCACCATTGCCCCAGATCTTAGGGTGTTGGCTCCGTGCTGGCAGAGACAAGCCAAGAAAACTGGGGACTACAGTCACCCTCCTCCCCAGACCGATCAGCTTTGGAGAGTGGGAGTATGCTGTTGACCTTCAGCCACGGCTTAGATTTTCTTCTGGGAGAAAAAGCAGGCCATAAACATACAGCTCCTAATTTCTTCCCAGAGGAACTGTCTTCATTTGCAACCCTGTACGGAGAAGTTCAAGCCTAAGGTTACTTTCTAAAACAAAGAAGGTTGTGGTGAAGGGCAATTGGAGAGAGAGGCTGATTTGTAGGATGGCTAGTTGGAGAAACCCTCCTGGGGCCAGAACAAATCCCACTGACCTAGGGAACATTCCATCAAAAGAGCCCAAATTTGGTGGGATTAGTCTTTGGAGAAATTCATTCCCTAGGACATTGTTTAAAACAATAGAGCAGTCTGTAATTAGTAGAGTTTAACAGCTAGGTGTGATCAGGGAAAGAGACAGTCAAAGAGAAGCTTGCCAAACACTTCTAATGACCGTGTTGATTAGTTACCAGTGTCCAGAGGCCTGGGATGGGGGTTGGGTGGGCGGGGGGGGGGGGGGGGGAGGCAGGGCAGGGGCTGTTAGAAGCTTTTGGGAACAGTCAGAAAAGTGGCTAAAATAATTCTGCATCCTGCAGCTCTGTATCAGCCTGGCTCACTTGACATTGAGTGTTGGAGGGTGTGAGTAATAACGCTGGAGTGAGGGGAGAAAGACAGAGTGAGATGAGGTCAGACTGGAGGACTGGATCGATCTGCTCTTCCTTTGCTATTTGCTATGAAATGAATTTCAGTGAGATAGTTTTTCTTGCTCCCCCACTTCATCTCAGATGCTCTGAGCCTATTTCCTTTCTAAAGCTTTAATAATGTAAACAGTATGCAGTCGACTTATAGCCTTTAAACTGAGACTGTATGTGAAATGTAAATGTTCAACGGACTTAACATTCGTGAGAAAGAGAGCGAGCTCCAGAATGAGTGCAATGCTTCATCACTTTATTCTTCTTCCATCAAACCAGCCGTCTCCTGAAGCCATGGGAAATCATGGTGCTTTGGTATCTGGAGAGAGGCGAATGCATAGGCATATCTGCGACTTTTATTTTCGATGGGCTTTTCTTTAGGACCACTTTACGGTCTTCTCCATGGCAAAGCCTTTCACTGTGATTCAAAAACAGAGAGTCTTCCAAAGGGCCAGCATGGATCCCACACGCTTCGGCATGCTAAGAGAAAACACAAACAAAACACTGCTGTGCATGACCCTGAACATACCCTTTATTAGATTAACATGTTAGTTTGCCGGACAGTTTTTCTAGGTGTCCCTGTCGAGAAGGAAAGTCTAGTGGACAGAGGAACATCCCTTCTTCAAAGTCAAGGCTCCCTCACTGGTGTCTCCCGACCACCAGGAAGAGCGGCGTGCACTGCAGACTCTAAAGACAAACCTGCAGCAGGAGGTAACCTGACCTTGGCCGGCAAGCCCGGGGTCGCGGGTGAGCACAGGACGCAACGCTTCCTCTGGGCGTTGCTCACGATCCCCTGGGCCCGGGAACTTTGGCCTCGGTTCTGGGAGTTGCCGTCGGTGTGTGGGAACCCCCGGCGTGGGGCCGCCGTGCTCTCAACCAGTTCCAAGCCAAAGGTGGCGCCTGAAGCGGACCCTCTGGGAAACGAAGCTGTTGCCCCAGAAGTCACCAACCCGGACCCTGGGATCGGGAGCGCCTCGCTGTAGCCAGAAAAGGGCAGAGCAGGGGGCAGAATGGCCCTCCCTGGAGCTCGGGCCCAGGTGGCGGGGTGTAGGGACTCAGTGCCATGGAGAAGCATTTGTCAAGCATCGCAATGGCCGGGTGGTGGCTTCTGCATCCACACGTGTCTGGGCTATTAAAAAGCACCTTTGAAGCGAGTGCCACAAATGTGGTGGCTTGTGAGAGTAGAGCCAGGTGCCGGTAGAACGATGCTTCGAGGCAGTGATCAGCTTCATAGTCTACCAACCAACTCTGAGGGAGGCAGCCTCAGACTCAGCACTTTTGCTTCCCCGTGCTCATTTAAAAGATGACTCGACCACAGCGTGCTGTGACAGAAGGTGGGCGGTGCTACAGGAGCCTCTGAGAATTTATGGACGAAGTAGAGGCATTGTTTGCAACGTGTAAATATCAAGCTGCCAGCTATTATATCCATCAGAAGAGAGCATCTGGAAGAATGGCCAACTAGGAAGCTTTATGTAATAATGGAACTGCAGAAGGATGTTAGCAGTTAAAATCATCTGCTCCTGCCCTGGCCGGGGTGGCCCAGTTGGTTGGGCGTCCTCAGCAAAGCAAAAGGTCACCAGTAGGGCCCAGGTCTGGGTTTCCAGTTGGGTTCCAAGGTTGGGGCCTCATGGAAGGTGGCCAGTTGGTGTTTCTCATATCCATGTTTCTCTCCCTCTCTTTCTCCCTCTCTTCCCCTCTCTCTAAAATAAAATAAAATAGTAAAATAAAATAAAATTTCAAAAACCAAAACCATCCCCTCCTCCTTTCTGTGTATGGGGCTAAGGTCTTCCCCTCTCTTGGACATGAGAGAAGTGTCTGAGAAAAGCTGTCACCAATTATAATTGTTTTGAAGGACATATTAAATGTTTATAAGTTAAAGAATAAATGCATATTATGAACTCAAAAAAAAAGAGATAAACCTGGAGTCAGATTGTTGAACTTTAACTTCACTACTATGTGATCTTGCATAAGTCACCCCATGACACTCAAGTTTCCTCAAAAATAAAATAAAAATTATTAAAGGATTCTCTGAGTTCTGAATAAAATATTACATGTGAGTGAAAAAGTTTTGCCAACCACTAAGTATATTAAATAGATATAAAGCATGTTGCTGTGACTGTCCCTACAGCTGGATAAATAACAGCCGCTCGAGGTGGTTGTCTTGAGTACACTTCTCTTTCTGACTCTTCAGTACCGCTGAACAGCACTCTGGCCCAGTCGCGGGCCGCAGCCCCGTCTCTGCTGCGCTGTGCTTTCCTTTCTGTGCTGTTAGACAGTTATATCATCTTCCACAGGAAAAGTGGCGAAAGTGAATAGAAGAAGGAAAGCACAGCCAGCATTTACTCAGTGTACATTCACTTCATTTAATTCTTATTTTCACGTTTACTCTGTAGAACGTTCTATATGTCAGTTACTATATTTTAAAAATTGTTAGGAAAATTGTCAACTAAACTGTAAATGTGAAGTAGCTATGAAAAATTGTGCTGAATTCTAAAGAGTTCAAGAATAAAAAATGGTTTGATGCATTCAAAACAGTTCTTCATTATTGACTCCAACTCGAAGTTCACACCCTGTAGCTCTAGTAAATGGAAAAGATAAAATCAGTACTGATATTGTCAAATGCTAAAGTGAGTTAGGACATTGAAAATGACTCAATAAGCCACTAAGTCACATGAAATACAGTCCTATGTTAAGACTGTAGAAAGTCTTAATAATCATATAAATTTGATGTGTAAGTCTGTCATTTCAGTCTTGATTTCCTTAGTTTTATCTTTGTTATCAAAACATAACATAAAATACATATAAAATAATCATCTCAGGGTAAATGACAGCTTTATTACATTGTATGTGTGCATTTTATAAGAAAATAATGAGCCCTATTTTTAGGACATGTATTTTTACATCATGTAAGAGTCATATTTTGTAATGTCATCTTTGTCTCAGTGAAGTTATTCTTATTCAACATTAATGGTTTACCTATTAAAATTTGCAAATTAGTGATACACATTTCTTTCTAGGAATCATTACTTTGAATCTCCTCTTGTAGTCTGATTATACTTTTCTCCTTTAAAGAAACCATTTACCTTTTAACAAGTGAATGGTCAGTTTGAGTTTGGAAAATGTTTTGAAACTACTGACTGAACAGGAGCATGGAATGGGCAACAAGTTTTATCTGTAAATCTAGCCCGACTGTTCCCACAGCTCTCAACCTAAATATGCAGCACAACTTTAAAAATACATGCTCTGTACTGTAACATTAATATTAATGGGCCCTACTTCTGATGAGCTTCTTAATTGTGTGGAGCAAAAGGTAGACGTAGAGTTCTGAAATCTTTCAGTGTCTCTAATTTTAGGATTGTGATTGGGTTACTTGGCTAGATATTGATATTTAACTTTTGTTTGCAAGTTCATGTGTAAGTGCATCAAATATTTTTGTCAGAGAATGCAACAGTGTTTGCCAGAACCCAGGAGGAGCTTAGAAATGAGGAGATGTAGGTAAAAGAGTACAAATGTTCAGTTATAAGAAGAGTAAGTTCTGAGGATCTAATATTCAGCATGGTGACTACAATGAATAATATGATATCGTGTACTTAAAAGTTGCTAAGAGTAGATCCTAAGCATCCTCACAAAAGAAAAGAAAAGCTGACTGTGCGAGGTGATGGATATATTCATTACACGGTCCTGGCAGTCATTCCACAATGTGCATCAAGTCCCCCCATTGTACACTTTAAATGTGTACACTAATATTTGCCCATTATCCCTCAGTAAAGCTGGAAAAATGCAACATGAATTTTAAAATAGATTTTGTATAATTATTATGTCTATTTATTATATTAAATAGCACAGTATTTTTTATTATAAATATTTATAGGAAAATACCTTCAGATTCACACTCCTGAATTCCATACTTTCTTTCCAAGGCATAGTGTAACGTCTTGGGATCATCCCTTGCTTTAACGAAAATCGTGGCAAATGAATCTCACTACTCCTGAAGATTAGGAAGGCAAGGAGAAAAATATTTTGTGAGTTACAATCATTTTAGCATCACTCTAGGGCAGGGGTGTCAAATTCATTTTCACCAGGGGCCACATCAGTCTCAAGGTTGCCTTCAAAGGGCCGAATGTAATTTTAGGACTGTATAAATGTAACTACTCCTTAACTAGGGGCAAGGAGCTTGGCACTGCTGCTGGTTAGAAATAAGGTGCTGGGCCAGATAAAACAAAGGGGAGAGCTGGATTTGGCCCATGGGCCTTGTATTTTCCACCTGTGCGCTTGGAATGGAGGCAGTTGAGTCCTGTCCATGATGTTGGGACCCTGTCATCTGCAGGACAGAGGTGCCATTGTTTGAAGGTCACCTGGTAGATAACCAACCCATTAAATCCCTAAGTATCACCAAGATCAGGAGTCAGACCTGGGTGTCTGTACCTCCAATTGCTTGCTGTCCTTTATAATTTGCTTACCATCTTCAATCTAACCTGATTTTCAGGGAGAAGACAGAGCACCATGATTTGCCTCAGTCCTACCCATTGCCTAAGGGAATCTCTGGCCAGTTACAAAAAAATAAATTAAAAAAAAGGTAACTAATTTAGCTTCTGAATTTAGTACATGCTCTACACTCAAGTCAGACTTACCCTGCACACACATTTTTTCCCCTCTGGAACACAAAGCTTCCTATATAGATTCCAGGGGGAAGCACAACATTATTATCCTCAAAAAAACAGACAAAATGAACCCCAAGCCCACAAACCCTTCAGTACTCACTTATTATCAGGCTTATTTGACTTATCATCTGAGCAGTTGTTGGCCAGTTTAGGTAAGATAGGACAAGTGTCTTTTCCTGAAGCCATTGCTGCCAGGAGTGATGGAAATTCTCACTTGGAACTTCACTAATCCTTTAGCCTAATTGTGATGACATTGCTGCTTCAGAGGTAACAATGTCCTGCTAACTTCACAGTACTCGTAAGCAGTTGATTAAAAGTGTAGGCCTGAGAGCTATTTTCAGTGTTTTTTTTTTATACCCCTTCTTTTGTTTTTTTCTTGGAGAACAACATTTTATTCTAAAAATAGATCACAGTAACAATGAAATGGCAATATTCTAAAAATAGATCTCAGTAACAATGAAATGACACAAGCTGGTCATTACAATAAAAAGGAAAAAAAGTAAGAGGAATTTGCTTTAAATTTTTTTTCTGAAAAATACAAGATCATCACTGTAATACACTGCCGACTGTCATTTATCTATATTTGAATTACTCATTTTATGAACTATCCAAAGAAATTTTAAAATCATCGATTGGATTCTGCCTAACATCTATATATATATATATATATATATATATATATACATCCATCTGGATTGCTTTTACCTCTAAGTATATACATTCTCGAGGAATGCAAACAAAATTTAACACTTGCTTAATTAAATATAATTAGGGAGACAAATTTATGCTTAGCAAAATTGAATCACTGTTTTCCTCAATTTTTGCACATAACCCAAAATGCCTGTGGTTTACTTTGACTAATCTAAGATAAAAATACTATCAGTATTTAGTGTGATTAAATGCCACTTTTGTTAAAACTTGACCCTGCGTTTTGAGTGCTAGAATGTAAACTGTAGAACTGAAAACACTCCAAAATATGTTCGTTAATATTGGTGTCCAGGGGTCCCCCTATAACTGTGCCTTTTCTCTCCATTAACACGATGTGCATGAAACTTCCTTTTCTTCTGCGAGGGAGGAAGGGGAGGGGTCAGAAGAATATGCAAATAAGGAAGCAGGACGTTTCCTGTCTTAAAAATTCCCATGTGAAACGTCGTAAGAATTTATACCAAAATACATTGCTGTTCTAGAATACACAATTTTGTGAAATCTTTCAGTAAAATCTACAGTGCAGGAAAATGCAACATTTTTATCCTGTAAAAGGGTTAGTACCTTGAGGGGAGCTCCACAATCTTTTTGCTTGATAAACAGAGCATTAGTCTGTATTTCTGACTAATAGAGCTCTAAATGTTGTTTTAGAAATCATATATGGGGCTTTTTAAAAGTTAGTTGTGCTCACACAACAATAAATATTGCTAGCTATTGAAAGCAGCTCTACATCTCTTTAAAATTCACTGAATATGTAATTAATAGCTGAACATGAAGTAAAGCAATTTCCAGTGGTGATGATAGTCTCACAGTCGCAAGTCTAACTTCTTAGGTAATACTAACAGCCACGTCTTTGAAACATTAATCTGTTAAACACTGCAATTTGCTGATATTACACAGAAGGAAAAAAAAGATAATTATATCAACTACCATTGCAAGCTCAAATGAAGTTATTAGTAAAAATACAGGCTGTCCAGTGGCTTTCTAAAAGGGCTAAGCCCTGGTCTTGTTTCTGCTTTTATTTGATCTTTTTTTTTTTTTTTTTGGTGGGGGGTGGTGAGGTGGATGCATTTTGTTTCTGAACCAAATACTAAGCTTTAAGACATAAAATACTAATACTTTCTGAAAACAACCTAACCTTCGGCTTAAGATGTGGTTTACTCATAAAATTTCTGCTGTGTGGCATTAGTAACTAGGATACATCCAGCTCTGAGGAGTTCTGTGAGCAATCAAGACAATCAGCATCCCGAGTGCTGTTACAAGAGCCTTACCTGAAGGCCCAGGTAGCACCATGCCCTTCCCTGATGACTTCCAATAACTGGCCCCTAATTTTCCTCTTTATATATTGGACATGGTTGATGTGTTCCATTTACATTAAGCAAACTATTAATTAGAAGCGTACTTTAAAAATGTGAATCAAATTTGTTTAAACCTAAACCAATCCATTTTACCCCCAATATATGTTATATTGTATTTTAGATTACAAAAACTCATTTTAAAAATTTATTGATTTGAGAGAAAGGAAGAGACATCGATTTTGATGTTCCACTTATGAACTCATTGGTTGATTCTTGTCTGTGCCCTGACCAGGGAATCAAACCCGCAACCTTGGTGTGTCAGGAAGATGCTCTAACAAAGTTACCTGGCCAGGGCCAAAAACTCACTTTCAAAAATTACAGGTAAGGATGAGCACCTAAACGACTAAAAGGGAGGTGGAGGGTTATTATTGCCAATCCTAGTAGGTAGCAAGTATGAAAAATGTTACACTGAGCACAAAGAATCACTGCAAAATTTACTGAGTGGTTCACTGGGTGTTAACTGAATACATACCTGGGAAGTTTAGACACCTACCCTTAGAACTGGATGCAGAGAGAGGTTTAGAGAAAAGTAATTTTCATAGACAAAGCTTTAGGAACCTTAAATATTGAATTGTTGGTTTCTATATATATATTGGGATGCAATAGAAGCCAGAAATCCGTGTGGCTTCCCATATTAAGGAAACAACTATAGCACAAAAGCAACCAAGAAGGTGGTGGGAGCCGGGGGAAGGGATCTGAACAATCTTGTTTAATGATGCAGCCTCTAGGGCATTAATGCTCTTCAAAAGCCGTAACTTTCACTAGAAAAAATAAGCATTGTTTACGTGAATATGTGGCATTTAGATTTGAGTGATTATCTTTCCTAATGTACTAAACCTTTTAAAATCATCTCATAAATAATCTCAGCACCAATATCCAGTTACCTATTTTTTTCCTTGGTTATAACAACATCCTGAAAGCATATTTGAGATGAAAAAACAGTCATTTGAGTTTGAATAAGGACTTCTAAAATTAATTTTATTTTTGCATTCTTTATGAACACAAAGGAACCAATAACCATTTTTCTCTTTTCCCACTTAAATTCTTAAATCCAACTTCAATGACCATGTAGTTCAGGAATGACTGAGTTCAAGTACAATGTCTGTATAGTTTGTAATCACATCCTACATAGTTTTGCTTAATTTATTTTGTAAACTATAGTCAACTCTTGGAACATCTTAAGTAACCTATCTTTAGAAGGTTTATTCCTCCTTTTTAATAAAAATGAATAATTTGAAAATTCATGCAGATGTGACATTTTTAATACTTCCTTAACATAAGGTAAAACAGTCTTAGGCAAGCCACCATTAAAAAAATTAAATATACATGGTAATTACACAGGTATGGTTCACATTCAGTATTGAGTGTATGACCAAGTTGATAAGTCAAAAACAAAGTTAAATTAGAAACAACAAAAAAAGACAAAACAAAGTTGAAGTTTGAATCAATATATCTTGGAAGAACTTCTGCTGTTTATTTCTGGACAGAAAAAGCCATCAGTATAAACCTATTTGAAGTTTAATCTCTTATCCTTAAAAAAGCCTAAGAGTTCTTAGAACACAAACTAAATTTGGATGCATATGTAATAAATAGTTTAACAATTTATGTATCTCATTAGGATTTTTTAATGGGATGTTTTGAAACCAGTCATAATTCATGGCAAAATCAGAAAGAGAAAACAAACTTTTGAATGGCATGTTATAATGACCTAGACAACTGATTATCAACTAGTTATAATTAGCACATGCAACAGGTTGTGAAATTAAATGCTCTGCTCCTGTGATGTTGTCAGATGTGAGAAAATTCTAGATGTTTCTATCAATCACATTCATCTCACCCCATATTCAATTTTATTTAAAACAAGAATACAGGTCTTTCTCTCCAGATTTTTATGTTTATCAGTGCAAAGTTAAACAAAGCAATTCAGTAGAAATGGTTTATTACAATATTATTAAGAAAGGTTTATTCCTTAAAATGTACTAGAAAATGTCCAAGTCGTGAGAATGGTCAACCTCAATGGCTTCCTCTGCATCCAGCTTTGTTTCTCCATGTCCTTCCTGCGGCTCATCGAGAGAGGCCAGGGCCTCGTTTGTGTCACTCGCAAAAGTTTCTCGTGATGTATCGTCATCTTCTTGAAAATTTAGACTTTTAATAGCTTGTTTCATCTTTTTCCCCAACAGCTGTGTTCTCCTCTTTCTAGCAGCTTTTTTATTTTCATATTCCTTTTGATTTTCAATGTAGAAAATGTCCTACAATAAAGGAACAACTTTAGTAAGTAAGAACTACTATTTATTAAAGGTTTGTTACTAGGCAGACTCTTTACATTATCTCTATTTCTCACAAAAAACAAGCTATTATTTTTAGACTCATAATTAGACACAGAGTCCAAATATTAAATAAGTCCCCACTGCAAGAAGAGGATAGAGCTAAGTTTCAAACTCAACTTAGTGTTAAGTCGAGGGCCCACGCATATCATAACACATCACCTCTCAAGGATTTCTAAATGCAAAGACACAGTAGAAAAATCACGTTGTTTAGGATTTAAATGAAATAGAATTCATCATAACAGAAGTCTTTGGAATATAGATTTCCTTTGAAATACCATCACCACATGTGACTGAACATGCTAAGAAACTGAGTCATTCCTGAATTGTGTGACTAAGTATAATAATGTAACCTACACAATGAAGGAACAATTCTATGCCTTCAAAACCATTACTGTAATTCATGTGTGACAATGTAAATCTTTTATCACAAGGCACAGAAATAACAGTCAGCACTGGAATACATTCCAGAATGCAGAGAAAGGATTTTGCAGTATGAAAATATGAGATTCTACCCTGGCTGGCATGGCTCAATATATTAAGTGCAGGTCTGTGAAGCAAAGGGTCGACAGTTCGATTCTCAGTCAAGGCACATGCCTGGGTTACAGGCCAGGTCCCCAGTTGGGGGCATGTGAGAGGCAACCATACATTGATTTTTCTCTCCCTTTCTTTCTCCCTCTCTTCCCCTCTTTCTAAAAATAAATAAATAAAATCTTGTAGAATATATGAGATTCTTTTAGTACAGTTTCTCAACCCTGGTGATACTGAAATTTCGAGTCAGCTAAGTCTCTGTGTGGCA